TTCGGTTAAGAGAACAGAAAAAAATAATTATTTGTACAGTCCGAAAGCTATGGTAAGCTCTGAAATGCAGAATATGAATATGATAGATTCATGTGAAAAGGGAGAAGAAAATCAATCTGAACTTTGTTTTTATCCTCAAAGCATCTTGATCTGTTTCTGCAGATCCTCTAGCTTTATAAATGTTGAATTTCAGGTACACAGCTCATTGTACTTTATTATTTCTTTGGCTATAATTTGCAATTTCTCAAGTGAGTGAAATTTTGCATTTCTGTGGTTATTCAGTGTTTTTTGTATCAGCATTTCAGAAGTAAATTAAGGCAGTTCATGATGTAGTCCATTTTGTAAATTTTGGTTTGATCTTTGAATAACGAATGTTTGGATTAAAAAGAGGCTGTGGAGATTTTTTGCACAGTTTTGAAAATTGGGAATTTTGGAGAACTGTTGCAGTAATTGGAACAGACTGGTATATTCTCTAGCTATCACATTGCTTAACTATGTTTTTTCCCCCACTTGTGGCAGGAGACAGTGTAGATGATTTTCCTAGGCAGGAGCTGAACAGCTTCAAACCAGTATCCAGAATAGTAACAGTCTATTAGCCTATTAAAAGCACAGATTGCAGTGGAATTCAATTTGTACTGTCTGTTGGCAGGAGGAGTGGGCTGATAGTTGGAGGGGGTACAAAGAGACTTGTGAAAATTAATATTTTGGACTGTTAAGTCACTTTGTTCTTTAATAGGACATACAAATTCATATTTACCATAGAAGCGTAATTTTTCTGGTTCTCAGTATTAGTGCTTTGCTGTGGTTGTTCAGGTAATACCAAAGATTTCCCAACATGTAAAACCTTCCTTGAAGATTCTTCAGGAAAAGCAAGCTTTATACTCTCTTCAGCAAAATAATTTTATTAAAAACACGGAGGAAAAATTGTTTAAGCAAAATTAAAAATACTGTCAATAAGGCCTATTTTTTCATAATTAGCTCTTTGTAAACTCAATATAATTTTGCCTATTATTAAAAGCAGTAACATGTAAAAGTGCAATGTTAAGTAACTGGAGAAGAGGAGACTGAGGGGCAACCTCATCAATGTTTACAAATACATTAAGGGTGAGTGTCTGGAGGATGGAGCCAGGCCCTTAGTGATGTTCAGTGATAGAACAAGGGGCAATGGGTGCAAACCGGAACATAGGAGGTTCCACGTAAACATTAGAAAAACTTCTTTACTGTGAGAGTGACGGAGCACTGGAACAGGCTGCCCAGAGAGTCTGTGGAGTCTCCTTCTCTGGAGACATTCAAAACCCACCTGGACGTGTTCCTGTGTGATGTGCTCTGGGTGATCCTGCTCTGGCAGGGGGGTTGGACTAGATGATCTTTGGAGGTCCTTTCAAACGCTTAATGTTCTGTGATTCTGTGCATGTGTGTAGAGCCACCTAGATACATAGAGTTTCTAGATCAGTGGTGTTCTAAACAATGGAGTTGTCCTTTTTGTAAGGGAGAATGCTTGGTGAGTTTAAAGATGTCATCTGTTGCAGCCCTTGAAGACAAGATTCATTTTATTAACTCGGGGTTTCAGTGACATAATTTTTAAGGGCCTCCAGTATTGTGTTCTGTGGTTTCACAGCTGTATGGAGCACATACCCTAAACTGTGACTGCAATGTGAACTGTTGCCTGTAACCTTGATCCTTTCTGCAACTTCATGTTTGTGTACTGTCTTGCAACACTCTTGCATGACAGGAGAAGAGGCGTGAATCTAAGATAACATTTATCTTAATTTTCAATTTTGTGTTGTCTTTTTCCTTCTGTTCTCTTTCTGCTCACAAACTTGCATTATAGCAGTAGTTTCCATGGTGTGCAGTATATTTTCCATGGCATAAAGTATATTTTCCATTAAAATTATTCTAAAAATAAGGTTTGTTTAGACAGAACCCTTGGGTAAGAGATAGGTAAGGACAGAGACATTCAGTGCTGTGTTGATCTCTAGCCAGGGGAAGTGCTGTGAAGTAATTCAGCCAATACGGCTTGCCTCAGTTCTTAGCTTGCTTTAAGTTAAGTTTTGGGATTTATTCAGTCTCTGACTGGGCCAAGGATGATGTCCAAGCCTAGGTTTCTGGCCAGTCGTTCTGTCTTGCAGTGTAGGTTGAAGCCTGTGAATCTGTAAATAAGGGAAAGCTCAGGGAAAGGTATGAACTGTCTGAAGTTCTATACAACAGTAAGTTTGCTATGCAAAAAAGTTTTTTAATTTGTTTACTTATTTTAAATGAAATTTTAAGGATAGCTTTAAAATTATATTGATTTTTTTTTTTTCACAACTTATTTTTGACATCATGCCTATGAAGGTAGGGAATGATGATCTATCCTGTCTCTGTCTCATGGTTGTCTCTTCAAGCAACTTTGTCATTTAATTTTTTTTTTAACCTCTGCACTTAAGCAGCATAACTTAATACCATTCTCATCCTCTCTTGTTGCTGAATTGCTTGCACTTAGAATAAGCAATCTGATTTTATGATGATGTATGCCTTTCATGAGCATGGATGGGGAAGAAAAGGTGATCTGATTTTACCTCTTCTTGGGAAGAAGGAACTAATAATTATCTAGTGTGGTTTGAGTGTAAGTTTGATCTGTCACTCATGAACACTGACAGCAAATATTTGTGCGCTCAAAATGTAGTGTCAGTTGTATTGACTTCTTAGTACTGTTAAGTGAAGATTTCATAGTGGTGTGTTAAAGAAAATGCCTTTTCAGAAAACCTTTCCTTATTTTAGAGTTCTCAATATATCACTGAATCTGTGGGTCCAACATAGTGTTTTGTGTCAAGCAGTCTTGGTTATGGATTATAACTCTGATTTCCTAAAACCAGTAAGCTAAA